ATTCAATATCATCATTGGCAACAATTGGTTACACAGAACATTTTGAATCCTAGGTTGCAGCCAAGGGTTTTCTCAAGCTTATAGGTCCGGAATTTTCCGAAATTCACAAAATCATCCTATTTTGACAAAATATAAAAAATGTGCTGATTTTGAAGCAAAGAATGCACTCTTATGAAGAGATTTCTTTTACCAAGAAAGTAAATCTTTTAAAAACAGATCCATTTAAGATTTTGAAATGTTACGATAAAGCTGAAATTCAGGGCTATATTTGGCCTAAAGTGATCATTGTCCTATGCCACCAAAATTGAAGTTTTCCTATGAAAATTACAAGAAAACAAAAATGGTGACCCCCATTTTGTATTTCATATTCCAAAATAACTCGGATCAAATTCAAAGTGTGCAAAATATTTTAGAAATAGGGAGATATGCCATTCGGTATCGTGTTACTTGTGCCATAAAATGTATTGTAAACTCCCGTGGCACATTCCATGCATCTATTTTATTGCCATCCAATGTTTTTTGGTTTATAATATATCTTAACCATTTCCAAAGAAACATTTTATCCTCATAATTCTATGAGCATTCTTTTCAGACTTTTCTGCATGTATCATTAGAAACAATGGTATATGTCATTTAGACAGCAATCCAACGACACGAATTACTACTAGACTCTTATAGGTCACAGTATATGGTTTTAGTTTTATATCATCACATGAAGGATTCTGGGTTCATGTGATAGTAAAATGTGTTTTACCTAAACAAAACACCGCTTCATAAAAACTCAAGTGATACATTTTCAAGAAAAAAGCTACCGGTATTCATAAATTTTCTGAAAAATGTATTCTAGTTTAACCCAACCACATTCTGTATCTGCCTCTCCCAAGTCAGGAGCTTGTAATTCAGTGGTTGTCTTTTGTTGCTGTTACATATTTGTTTTTCGTTCATTATTTTGTACATAAATTAGGTCGTCAGTTTTCTCGTTTGAACTTTTTTACATTTGTCATTTCGAGGCCTTTTCTAGCTGACTATGCGGTATGGGCTTTTCTCATTGTTGAAGGCCTTACGGTGACCTATTATAATACATGTAGTTGTTAATTTCTGTGTCATTTGGTATCTTGTGGAAGCGTTAAAGATGCTTAATAAGCCAAAAACAACCAGTGCATAATATTTTTTCCAATGTTTTATAAAGAGAATGAACAAAAAAAAACCCAACAAATCACGAATCGATCTAGAAATTATGATATGTAGGAATAAAGAGGTAAAATTGTAAATTCCATCACCAGGAAAGCGTCTACCGCTTTGTTTTGTCGGCGTAAATATAAAAAAGGTGAGGGCGGGAGAATTAAGATGGGAATCTGAGAGGTAAATTAATCCATTCTTTGGTGATTTATTCACGCAAAGCAATACGTTTTGTCATAAATAAAATAACTTAAAAGATTGCTGACGTGCAATATAGTGCTATGTGCTATGATATTGCCACGTGCTCAACGCTCGAAACAAGTGGGCGTTCGTCAAACAATTCTTTAAGTTGGGTGGGAATAATTGACCAACATGGGAGGAGTCAGCAATTCAAATTACTGTTGAAACAGGTTAAGCGATAAACTTCCTCCATCAATCACTTACTTATTTCTAATAATTAGTTGTTTTGTTCATAAACGATAAATTAGAAGTGACTAACAATAAAAAATAGCGGTTAACCGATAAAAATAGCGGTTAACCGATAAATTAATAGCGGTTAACCGTTTAATTAAGAGCGATTAACCGATAAAAATAGCGGTTAACCGATAAAAAAGGCGGTTAACCGATAAAATTAGCGGTTAACCGACAAATATATAGCGGTTAATCGATAAAAATAGCGATTAACCGACATTAAATAGCGGTTAACCGATAAAAATAGCGGTTAACCGATAAAAATAGCGGTTAACCGGTATATAAATAGCGGTTAACCGATAAAAATACCTTTTGAACCAAATGGTACACCATAGATCTACCTCTAAATGTTTCTGTGTCAGAGGAGACAGAAATCACCCCCCCCCCCCCCCCCCCCCCCCAAAAAAAAAAGACCACCAAACAAAATAATTGTCCAATCATCGACATCAAAATATTTCGCCCCCCCCCCTCCCCCATTCTTTCCGGTTGGGAAATAGTGACCAATCCCCAAGCCAGTCATTGTTCATGATACATTTAAAAAAAAGGGAGCAAAACTTCTATGCAATGTATTGTTTATCTGAATTGTTTATACTATACATAATTTGTTTTCACCACATTGCAAATTCGGCCAATATTTTAATGACTGGAACTATAATGGACAAACCGTGGCCAGTATGCATGCATAAAAAAGAAGATGTGGTATTATTGCTAATGAGACAACTCTCCACAAGAGATTAAATGACACAGAAATAAACAGCTATGGGTCACCATACTTTATTCACAATCACTGCCTTGCTTTGCATTGACAAATGAATTATCACGGAACCTACTTTTTCCCCTTTTTTAATTATCATAATTTTGTTTAAAGGTAGATTCACCAACATCAGTGCTAGGTGGCCAGGATCAGCACATGATTCTCATGTTTTCAGAACCTCAGCCATAGGACAACATCTTGAGAATGGATATCAAGGAATTGGACAAGGTGTATTGTTAGGAGACAGTGGCTATCCCTGCAGACAGTTTTTGCTGACACCATACAGACAACCAGCTGCTGGTAGAGGTCAAGCAAGGTTTAACAGAAGACATTGCTCAACAAGGTCAACAATAGAAAGGACATTTGGAATATGGAAGAAGCGCTTTCACATTCTAGGATCAGAGGTAAAATTAATTCTTTACAAATAATCATAGTAGTAATATGAATATTTGACATAGTGTTTGCCCTTATATTTTAAAAGTTATGTTGTTTTTTTCTTGTGAGAGCTGTCTACTTAATCTTTCATTAGTACATTTTTCTATTTCTCTAAATTTTGGTTTAGGTATTCATAATTGTCCCCTTTTATGTCAGGGCCTTTTATAGCCTACTATACGGTATTTTTTTTATTGCTGACGGCCGTACGGTTGCCTATAATTGCCAACATCCATTTAATTCATTTTAACTTTGTAGGATATATACATTTTAGTTATAAAATTGACAATCATACCAAATCTCCTTATTTTTATATGTAAAAAATAAAACGAGAAAACTGAAAAATCAGTTTTATATTAAAGGGCCGATAAAGCTGACCCCAGAAACATGTAAAATGTCAAGCCCTGACAAAAAAAATTCATCACACAGATCAATACCCTAAAATTATATGGAGAACAGGGATCCAGTTGGAAAATTGGTAATGTTGGTTCGGTAAATTCAGGTAGTCCTGTTGGGGTAGATGCTCCAAGTTAGTCATTACTGTAACTATAATAAATTGTGAATGAAACAGTACATCATCAGTTGGACTTTTTGCTCAGCTTCATACCTGAATTTGTCCTTTTTTCATTGAATCATAGTGTTTTCAAATATGCACGGCACATTGTGTTTCTGTTACTGAAAGTAATTTTTTTCGTAATAGATTTATTTAATCTCAGCCTTATTCATGAACAACGTTGCATCATGCTACTTACAAATAGTATTTCTGTCACACTTTAAAATTAGAAATAAATATTTTTAAATTGTATTCCAGATCCGAATGAAACCAGATAAAGCTTGCCGTATCATCATTGCTTGTGGTGTTCTGCACAATATTGCCATCATAAGGAATGAACCTGACGTTGCAGAAGAACAATTAATTGACAAACAACCTCAGATGCCACCCTATAATGGTCCACAGGACGGAAAAGGCATACGGGACCATTATGCTACCACTTTTTTTGCCTAATAAATTGCATGTTTTTATTTTTTCATATTTTGATACATTGTCATTCATTAAAAAAATGAGGAAATTTGAAAATAGCAACAAATCTTTATATGATCACTTTGACAATCTGTCGACAGAGGAAGTGTGCATTTTCGGCTTAAAAATTGGTTTAGTAAATGGTGAGCAGTTAGTCCCCTATGAAATCAAAAATCCAGTAGCCATGCAACTGTACTTCAGTATAAAAATAAGAATATGTGGTATGATTGCCAATTGATTATATCAATTACCATATGGTAAAAATTATATTATTTAAATGCCCAAAAAGGCGCAAGCCAGGTCCAACAGTGCAAGGGCTATATATAGCCAGTCAAGTTCATTTAAAACTTCCATCATCCTGATTGCCAATGAGACGATGGGGTATCCTGAAACAACAATTTACCCAAGACCAAATGTCCTCAATATCAGCAATTATAGGTTCCAGTGCATCAATTGTAAAACAATTCCGATAAGTTAAACCAATCGCCAGAATTATATAATAAATAAACCAAAAAAAAAAAAACAAATATGAAATACATTAACAACAGACAACCATTAATATTACAGGCTCCTGATTTTGGGAAGGTACATGTAAAATAATTGCAGCGAGGATCTAAAGACATTTCATTCCTTGCAAGAAGTCAAAAACGGAACATCGGAGCTAGCTTCCTGTTCATGCAGTTGCATTATTACATCCTTAGATCATTGAGTTTTTGGTTGAAATACTTGTCATTTGTTTATAAGTTTTTGATTCATGCATCACTTAGGGAGCTACCATTTGATTTTTATGGGAGGGGGCTAGGATGAAAAATTTTGTCTTGCATTTTTTGTTAAGTGTAATCTCTGTCCTGCCTTTTTTTTATTAGATTATCCTGACTTTTTTTACATAAATATCCTACCTTTTTATTGCCAAGTTGCTCATCCTGCCTTTTTTTTTACTCAAAACTCTTGTCCTGCATTTTTTTTCAAATTTCATCCTAGCCACCCCCCCCCCCCATAAAAATTAAATGGTACCTCCCTTATGATTCTTTGAATGATGGAGGTGCATTGGGTGTTGCTAAATTGTAATTACTATTTTCTTTTACATAGGAGTGTGTACACAAAATGAATTTGGTGGCCTCATAATAATTTCTAAAATAAAAATCAACAATATAACAATGAATTTAATACGTTCAAAACATAGAGGCAAGTGCCTAGGTGTGTGACCGGTTCTGAATTGCCACCCACTAACTTCTGCAAAAGCTCAATTTGGAGTTCCAGTTTTTTCTTTTCTAGGTCCATTTGAATGTTCTTCTTCTCTTGAATCACTAATTTACCCTGCAGTGCACGATACTGTATGTCATGTATGTCCTGCACTGTTACCTTTTTTGAGGGTGTTCTCACTATCCTACAAATAAAAAAAACATAATGATTTTTTTAAAAGATTGAATAATTTTACAACTCTGTTTTATTGATCGATACCCAGGCATAATTCCACCAAATAGCTACTTAAACTCGGGGGCCACTTTCTATATACAAAGTGATTGAACTACGTGCCGTTGGAATATGTCATGTTTTCCGGCTTGAAATATGTGAATAGGTGGGGAAAACTATCAGAAATATATGAAAAGGTAAAAAAAGTTCCAATTACTTGTATACTAAAAAGCCCTGTCTGAGACTGTCATTTTTCAAATCCTAAAAAGTCTCGCCGTAAGTTGAATTAACATTACATACAGAATCTTAGCCCTTATTTCATTGGCGGATCCAGAAATTTTCACAAGAGGGGGCCCACTCCAGTCATGCTTCAGTGATTCTCTATATAATCAACCAAATTTTTCCCACAAAAGGGGGAAGGGGTGGGGGCACAAGCCCCCTGGGCCCACCCACTAAATCTGCCTCTGAAATAACCACACGAAACACAACAAATATGAGAAAAGGTTACATTATTAACTACGCAATATAGGAAAAGGTCTATACATTTTTAATATCTTAATTATATTAATAGGGTGGGATCACACTAGAACCCCACTAGAACCCCAGCGGCACCCCTATCAATCAAGTATTGATCCTCCCCCCCCCCCCCCCCCCCCCACCACCAACACCACCACCACCACCATCCCCGATGCTTACTTAGGTGCTGAAATGACTAAAACTTGAATACATTTAAAGTTATTATAAGGAAATATATCACTATAAATCACTATACCATATAGTTCTATCCTTAGCAGAATTTGTCAATACTTTTTAGGTTCAGGTTTGAAAGATTGTCACGTTTAGTGATATAAATGACTGCATTGTCATGAAGAACCGATAGCAAAATCTCACTTTGAGGTTCATTGTTGGAAATACTGATAAACATGCATTGACAAATTTAATTTTATACATTGTATCAGAGACATATATACATGTGTATCAAGAAAAAAATGTTGACCAAATAAACTAGCGGAACCTGTTTACACAACACATTTTTAAAGAGTTCTTGTTGCAGGCAAGGATTTGTATAGTAGCATATCTTACTATACAAATCCTTGTTGAAGGCCTTACTTTTAATTTCAGTGTCATTTTGGTCTCTTGTGGAGAGTTGTCTCATTGGCAATCATAACATATCTTCTTTTTTATATTTATTTTAAACTTACTTCCGCTTTTCTGTAATACTTGTTTGTACTGGAACAACTGTTTGTGTTAGGATAGGGTCATATCCAGTCAGCAGAGATGGACTCTGTGGACTGAGAGGGGGTGGACTGTCACTGATAAGTGATGCTGCCGACTCATAGAGATCCTGGCTGGCATCTTCTTCTGGTAATGTGGCAGTGATAGTTGGTGGATCTGTAATAAATGAGAGAAAATTGACTTGTTGATACTGTGTTTGGGTATTTTATCTATCTGTTTATAGGGGGCCGGGACAATGGAAACATATCATCATACATTAAATTCAGAAACAATGTACTTTAAATTGCAAGTAAAAAAAAAATTGCACAAGACTAAATAAGACCCTATTTCAACCCTTTAAATATTATTATGGGTCTCGTCTATAAACTATGTGTTCCTGTCTAGGTTCAGACTGCAACAACAAATAGATAAACTTTATTCCGGATTTATGATAACCAGTCCGTATGTGTTTTAGTATTATAAATCATGACTGGTTTTTGCTCCAAATTATCTATTGTGGTTCCTTTTAATCTAACAACAGATACCAGTTTGAAGACGACTTGGCGGGCACCTGCCACTTGTGAACAAATGTTGAAAATAACAATTTAAAACCGTTATCAGTTTAAACAAATGCAATCTTGCAATAGTAAAACAAGAGCAGAACTTTCAAACCAACAAGAAACACGTTGGCAATCATTTAAGTAATAGAAAATTGGTCACAATAAATTGTTTTCAGTCACGTGATATCAGTTGGGAATTCCCCTACTTGTTGTGACGGCGGAGCAGACGAAACTTTTACTAAAATTGAATAAGGGAAACTATGTATCCCGGGATTAAAAAGGCTAAGAATATGTGTGTTATTTTCATCGAATTTCATTAAAAATTAACAATAACAATAAAAAAACACCTTCAAAACAAAATTTGGCCAAAAATTGTTTGTTTAATGAAAATTAAAAACATTTAGTTGGTTGAAACTGTTAAAGTTCACTTTTTACAAGGTGCAATAAAAAGGGTAGAGCTTTGAGAAGTTCTAATTAAGGGAAAAAAACATTTGGGGATATATTCTTATGTGCTAAATATAATTTACATACTTGTCTGGAATGACTCTGTTTCAAGTCCACCCTGAATCCCTCTGAAGCTGGTGGTGTCCTTCATCAGGTGGATAACCCTCTCCACTGCTGTGCTGGGTTGCTTTGGAGCTGGTCCTCCCCCAGTTTTGAATATTTCATTCCTGTGATTTGAATAAACGGCCTTGGCCACTCTTGTGGTGTTCCTCCATTTGTTGCGTACTTCTGTTGAAGTACGAAGAGCAACTCCAAGAGAATTTACCTTGATGGTAATCTCATCCCAAATGTCTTTTTTAACTTATTTGTTACTGTGTTTGTTAATTTTCCATTTATGATGTTGGAGTTTTTTTCCACAAGCTGTTGTATCAAGTCTTCTTCTGCCACAGTAAAATTGGTCTTCTTTAGCCTTTTCAGTTTGCTTGGGGTTTGTTCAACTGGTTCAGCCATTTTTTTACAGACAGGAAGCTCATAAACAATGAATGATGGGTAGGTTTTATTTAATCACTTGATTAATCAGTTGATTAAATTTTAACGCATTGATTAATCAGTTGATTAAATTTTAATTCATTGATTATTTAATCAACGCGTTAAATATTGTTCAACAACAGAAAATAAACGACTCGTTATGAAACGACTCGTTAAATTTAATCAATCGTTAAAATAACGACAAGATGAACAACAGAGCCCAGGTAAAAATAAACTATGCAGTTAAATTTACCGTCATACAACGGAAATCTCTTACTACAGTTCATCGACGCAAGTCAAATGACAGTCGCTAAAACAATGAATTGCTGTACTGGTCATTTCACGCGCATTCTTAATAATCAGAGTTCGGCAATATATTATGCACTTTTTTACTAAGGCTTGTCAGAAAATGCCTAGTGTTTTTATTGGTGATTCAGGTCGGTTCGACTTACACAGTGACCATGTTTTGATAAAATTGACTCTAATTTGTAAACCTATTGTACAGAATAAGACACAAAACAATAAATCCGTAAAAACAGACTGGACCCTCTTTCAGAAAAAAACCCAATGAAAATATGAGCGAATTTACTAAAGAAAATGACAAAATGAACTATGTAAACCGACTCTGGGATTTATGGGAAAATGCGGTAGAAAAGTCTGCCCTGTCAGCTATCGGTAAAGCAAAACCCGTAAAAAAATTACAGAGACTTCTGGGATAAAGAACTTGATTATCTTTTAAAGCAACGCCGCAATGCCAATAGATTGAATCGCACTCATAATAAATTCCATGCGCATGATGACGAAATTGGCAAAAGACTGAAAGAAATTTATTTTAATTGGAAAGCACTAGTACAAGAGGCTTTCAAAAGAAAAGAACGGTCAGCTAAAATCTGACAGTTTAATGAAAAATGTATAAATGTAAAAAATAAAATGAAAGGGTTTTGGGATTTCCTTAAAATAAAACGAACCGAAACAGGACCTATAGAGCTTAATGATCCACATGATTCTGACAAAGTATTTTCGGCTACGGTTGAGATAAATAATGCCCTTTTCCAGCATTTTAGCTCCATAGGTTCCTTTCAAAATCAAAATGAAGAAAAAGAAGTTAAAACCCTAACACATTTCTGAATTCCGGAAAAACCTGTGGTATTGATGGCATTCCTAACGAATTCTTTAAATATGGTGGGGACATTCTGCTGAACTCTTTCGTTCATATTTTTACAACAAGAGTGCACACGCTGAAATGTCTTGCCTGTTTTACTCACCATTGATTTTATTTTGAAAGTCTTAAAGATAAGTTTTACTACAAGTATTACATAAACTTAACATTTTTAAAGATCCATGACAATGAGGTCAAGGTCAGATAAAAACTGTCACACAGACATGCACACCTTACAATTATTCCATACACCAAATATAGTTGACCAATTGCTTATGGTAATTGAAAAACAGACCAAAACACATAACCTTAATGCTAACCAATGAACCATGGAAATGAGGTAAATGTGATACCGACTAGACAGACATGTACACATTACAATCATTCCATACACCAATTAAAGCTGACATATTGCTATTAGTATTTGAAAAACAGATCAAAAACAGAAACTCAACATTGACCAATAAACCATGAAAATGAGGTCAAGGTCAGATGACACCAGCTAGACAGACATGCACACCTTATAATCATTCCATTGACCAAATATAGTTGACCTATTGCTTATAGTACTTGAAAAACAGACCAAAACACAAAAACTTAACATTGACCAATGAACCATTAAAATGACGTCAAGGTCAGAAGTCACAGCTAGAAAGACATGTATACCTTACAATCATTCCATACATCATATATAGTTGACCTATTGCTTACAGTACTTGAAAAACAGACCAAAACACAAAAAAATAACAATGACCAATGAACCATGAAAATGAGGTCAAGGTCAGATGAAACCTGCCAGTCTGACATGTACCCCTTACAATCATTCCATACACCACATATAGTTGACCTGATGATTGTAGTATCTGAGAAACGGACCAAATCACGTAACTTTAACATTGATCACTGATCCACGAATTGAGGTCGAGGTCAGATTAACCCTGTCTGACAGACATGTAGACGTTGCGAGGAACCCATATACCAAATATAGTTATCCTATTACTCATAATGAGGGAGAAATTTACATGACAAAAAAACTATTTTTTTTCAAGCAGTCACTGAACCATGAAAATGAGGTCAAGGACAATGGGCATATGACAGACGGAAACTTCGTAACATAAGGTATCTGTATACAAGGTATGAAGCATCCAAGTCTTCTATCTTCTGAAATATAAAGCTTTATACAAATAGTTTACGCCGCCGCCGCCGGATAGTAATACCTATGTCTCGCATACTGGGACTTTCGTCGCAGGCGAGACAAAAATTACAGATTTAGAAACAATCCCAGATGAATGGCATAAAGGAATCATTATACCTATACACAAAAGAGGGTCTACACACTCTCTGAATAACTATAGAGGTATAACTCCCACATCAAATGTCTATAAGTTGTTCTGCAAGCTAATTGAATGTAATCTGACTTTTCTTGCCTTTATTGATCTTTCATCGGCTTTCGATAAAGTTTGGCAAGATGGACTGTTCTATCTCTTATGGAAAAAGGATATTCAACGTAAATGCTGGAAGATTCTGCCTGCACTATATAAAGAAGTTAGCAATAAAGTCCCTTTTTGGTAATTACGAGTCTGATTGGTTCGATTCAGAATTTGGTCTTAAACAAGGATGCATTTTATCCCTTGCACTTTTTCCGTTTTAATGACTGACATATGCGATATGCCGAAGGAGGCAAATTTGGATATAAGCATAGCTCATAACTTTTAAACATAGCTCATAACTTTGTCTCAAAATGGAACTTAAAGTTTGATTCATCAAAGTCGAAGGTTCTGGTTACAAGTAAAAAGAAAGACTCAAATAAAAAAATGGTACTTAGGGAATGATCGCATTGAAGAAGTAAATGAATATAAATATTTAGGCGTATATTTTTCAAGATCCCTTAAATCTACATACCATATAGAGCAGTACCTGAAAAAAAATTTTCAACGGAAAATAAATCATGCAATTCGTATTTTAGGTGAACATGGGGATTTTAATCGTATACATTTTGGATATTCTCTGTGGATGTCGGCTATTCGACCATCACTGACGTACGGGTGTTCGGTATGGTTCCCGTCATCCCAGAGATGTACCGAATTACTAAAACGTTTTCAATATAGAATGGGAAAAATTATCCTAAACACAAAAATGAATATCCCTAAATGTGCGCTACTAGCTAAACTTGGCTGGGAATCAATAAATAGTTTTATGGATAGACAAAGAATTGCATACTACGCTAGATTAATAAACCTGCCTGATAATCGATTGTCTAAAATCATCCTAAATAAAATTATATTTTGAATGGAAATATTTAGCAAATATCGAAATTATTCTACAAACTGCGGGCCTTGACCATTTTGCAAATGGAAACATAAACGTTAATATCTTTAATCAACTTTATAGTAACGAAACGACAAATACTCAACTATCCAATATTTTAGAAAAGAGTAGTTTAAACTTGTACCAATCATTTGTGGTTGTGAAACGTAAGCAGTTGTATATATCAAACGCTGACGACTTTCGCTCAACAAGGCTAAAATTTTTGGCAAGAACGATTTGTCTACCTTTAAATGCCACGCTCCAACGAATGAACCTATAACAAACAATGAGTGTCAGTTATGTTCCTCAAATGCGACCGAAAATTTTTTCACGTTAGGGACCGGTCATTATTTATCTCCATGGTGCCGGATAAAAGTAAATTTGAAATGAGCAAATATAATTGACCCCCCTTTTCAAAATGTGTTGAAAAAATTAACCCCCCTCTTTCAACTACATAAAAACTTTTGACCCCCTCCCTCTTTTCTGATTATAATTGAAAGGATTTAAATGATTCAATCTTTATAATATGTTGCTAATTTTCCTATTAACAGGTAAAATAACTCAAAGGAAATGGAATTTTTAAAGGTGTTTTAATACACAGATAAATGCATTGAGGACAACCGATAGAATGATACCCTGATGTAACTTCACAGTCTTTAACAAGCCAAACGCCCATTTTTGAAGAAACAGTGTCAAGAATTTTCGCCATAAATACAATGTACTATAATATCAACAATAAATTTATATTGAAATATTATTCTATTACAACTATGTCTTTTTTCAAGTTTGAGATGTTGAAAGGAAGCATTCCTTGTCCTTTCAATAATTTCTTGTATTGTAAATAATACATTTTTTCCTTTAAGGAATGACTGTAATATTTGTTCTGTCTATGAAGAAATAACATCAAAAATGTGGTGCACACTGAATAACACGCGTAGCGGGTTATTTTAAAGTGTGCACCACATTTTTTTATGTATTTCGAATAGACAGAAAAAATATTACAGTCATTTCTTATAATTTAATTCTAAATTCCATTTTAAACCGGAGTAAACCATGAAAAAACGTTGATGACGTCATGGTCACATGACAAAATTATGTCTATGAGCTGATAAACAAAACACCGTCAGCCAATCAGAAGACGCGTTACATCCAAAATTAAATTATTTAAAAATAACTAAAAAATATCCTATATGTATGGTCCGTGAGTACTTTATAATTTTATGAATATATGAGACAACAACCCACACACAACAGCTTTAAAAGCAATATATATAGAAAATAAAGGGATATGGAATGTGCATGTGACAAAATCCATACAATACATAGAAAAGATTGTTTTATAAAAAGACCATAAACCCACTTATTCATGGTATGGTATCAATATTTCTGACCTGACACTAGGTACTTTTTATTGCTTAATTCACTAGAATTTAATATGCAATGTTTCGGGTTCTTTCGGGAATAATCCCAGGTAAACCCTCATCAGAGGCCGACCTTTATATATTTATTTTATATCTAGTATAGTAGATAGATGTGTGTCTGTTTCATAATAGTTTTTTTTTCAAATTTACTACACGTGCATATAGGTCTACGTTGTAGCTAGTCTTTTTACAGACTAAAGAAACTGACCAAGTAGAT